TTTAAAGGTCAAAATATATCAGAGAAGGGACATATCCGGCCGCATATTCTAAAGAAAGGTAGAAGGGAGTAGCACAGGGGCGTCACGGACCCGCTCCACGTTGTAGAGGACAGTCACGAGGAAGGTGAAAATCATGACCAGGAAATCCACGGGTGCTACCCACAACGCCCTATTACAGTACCAAGAGGAGAAGACAGTGAGGAAGACATGGAATGTGGGATACATGAACAATACATGGCATTTTTATATGTCAAATCCCTCCCAGTCCTGCCCTCTTGTCCTCACTTACCGCCACATGTCGTGGAAATCGAAGAGGGACATGATGCAGGTGCAGATAATCGCACCCAGGACGGCCTTAGGAACAAATTCCAGAAGGGATGTGGCTGCGACGAGGACCATCTGGGAAACGAGGGCGACAAAGAGAGAAAGCACCGAAAAACAAGGCATGCGTGTGAGTCACACGATAGTAGAACATCGATATCTCCATCTCGAGAGCTAGACAAGTAGTAATTCTCACAAATGATTCTCGTTGGAGAAAGGACAGGGACAGATCTTCGATTTGATTCGTTGTCATGAAAGAAAAGAAAAGAAAAACGAAAGGGAAGAGGAAAGGAGACGCATGAAGTTCGTGCCCGCCCCAGCGGACTTACTGTGACGAAGAGGGAGGTGACCACATTGGCCAGAGGGGTCTTGACACCAACCTCGTGCTGAAGGGCAGTTCGAGAGAAAGAGCCTCCAGGGGGGTAGGCTTTGAAGAAAGAGGCAAAAAGGCAGCCGAAGCCCAATGCCCAGAGCTCTTGTGTCATGTCTGTGAGAGGGGAAGAGGAGAGAGGATGAGGCGGCAGATCAAGGGTATCGTCATTAACGAGGTCTGCAATAAGCTCTATACGAGGAAAAAAACTTAGACTGAAACGCCAGGCATCACTCAATCCTCAACATGCGGCAAAGAAATCCCTCCGCCCTCAGTCTTCTTTTGCGACAACACGTACCGAGGGCATATTTGTTGTAGAGGGCGTACTTCCTCGCCACTGAGACAGACTCGAGATAGGTAAGAAGTGCTATAGGAAGGGCGCAGATCATGACCTTGCCGAAGGGGATACCCTGACGTGGACGAGAGGAAAAGAAAAGACTCCGCGTTATAGCGAGGTTGCAGGTATAGCAAATGCCCGTGTCTATCAGCCAGCCAACCAGCAGCAGCCTGCCATCGTGTCGATCCCGTGAAATGGAAAGGAAGAGATCACAATCGAGAACGCAAGGTTGAAAACCTACCTCTCCATAAAAATCGTTGTTCAGCGCGGGGTATTCGAACTTATTGAAGCCGGCGGGGACTTTGCCTATAATTTCTGCGTCATAAAGATGAGGAAGCAAAGGTGGGTGGAAATGGAAAGTGGAAAAAAGAAGTGAGAAAATCATAGCGAAAGTGAGGCCCATATTGGTCTCGTATGCACACACTCTTTAGCTTCAGCCATTCATCTTGAGGTCCTCTTCGCATCCTTCCATTTCACCTTTCCCCTCGCTTTCATACCAAGTTCCATTCCGTTTTGGATGAGGTAATAGGAGACGGCTGTCGCGACAATGATGACGAGGAGGGTGGTGGAGGAGAGGAGAATGGCCAGGAAGTTCGCGAGCCAGGGCTTGCGCGTGCGGATGCGGCTGATGTGAGGTCTAGAGGACTACACAGTGTGGGGGGGAGGGGAGAAAGGGACAGAGAGCGAAAGCACGAGTAGTGAGTAGGCAGGCAGAGGGAGCACGACGATCTTGCCTATGCAACTGGGGCTCACAGAAAGTCTGCCGGGGGGAACGCTTTTTCTTTCCCTACCTTTAACCCTCCCTCCCTTTCTTGCTTCTCTACTCTCTCCCCATCTTCTTCCCTCCCCTTTTCCCTCACCCGTCGCAGTGTGTTCAGGAACCAGAGGGCGAAGAAAGAGGTAAGGCCCATGGCCATGGCTGTGCTGTTGCTTTCCGTGCGGATGTGCGTGATCAAATATCTGTACTCGTTGATCTGCACCGTGTCCCGGGGGATCTGCAGGAGGAAATGAAAATGAGGAAATGAGAAAAATGGGGCAAGAGCGTGTGGAAAGTGGGGGGGGGGGCGAGAAAGGGTAACGACCGTGCAAGACGCAAAGTGAAGGAGTGCGGGACACCGATTGCCTGCAGAAGAAGAAAGAGCCCTACAAGGCAGGCAGGGGTTTGAGGCCGGCAGTAGTTTGAAGCTTTGCACGCCTCCTTTCTCTATTCCCTCCGTGGAATTGTGCACTTACCTTGAAGCCCCAGATATATTTGCTTTGGGAGATGAAAATGTAGACGGCACTGTGACATGAGGAGGGAGATCGATATGAAAATCACCGTGGTCAGAGGAATCGAAGGGGGGGAAACGAGGACTGATCACCCATCCCAATGCGAGAAAGAAATTTGTGGGACAAAGTGCGCGCGGTGTGTGTGAAAACGTCGTTTGCCTCCTCCAATTAATAAGATATTATCACGTAACGACACCAATAGGAAAAGGGTCCTGCGAGCGCGATAAGGACGCTGGCATCGAGAAGACCATGACCTGAAAAGGAGAAAAAAACAGTGCCCTCACCTGCCTGTGACGAATCCCGTCAAAACGGAGGGGCTGACGAACTTCATGAGAGAGCCTACCCGGAAGAGCGCCATGCCGCAGAGCAAGACGGCGGCGCCGAAGGAGACCACTGCCGCCATCTGCCCGCGCACGAACGTGTGGTACTGGGCCTCAGCGTTCAGAATAGGGTCCTGAAGGAAAGGGAAAAAACGAGGGAGGGGTGGAAGTAGGGATGAGGTATTGTACGGAGGACAGGTGCACGTCCTGGAACTCGAATCTTCTGCATTCCCAAGGCCCTAAAACCACCTGGCTTCCATCCGTGAGGATCATCTCGCACGTCCTCTACGCCCCGTATCTGTCCCAGCCTTTCTCCATTTCTTCCTCCCTCCTCTGGTAGATTTTCCATCGCTTTACAGCGCCTTGTTTCTCCCTAGATCGACCGATTTCGCCGTCCTGTTCTCCATCCCTCCTTTCATCCCTCCGCCCCGCCTCCACCTACCTTGTCCTTCTCCGTCAGTGGTATGCCAAGACTGGTGAAGGTCTCGGACATGAAGAGGGACACGAGAGCCACGGGGCCAAGGGTCAGCTGTCCCGACGTCCCGAAGAAGGTGTAAACGTAACTGAAAGAAAGGAAGGGGG